TATGAACCTGATGCATCAGCAAATTCCTATGATAGGGAAGCTACACTTAGGCAACTACATAAGTGAACATAATTTCACGGGTACTGAGAATCCACAACTTCCACTGGATCCACAACTTCTACTGCTAACGGTCCAGTATTGTTTACTTCTGTATGCAAAACCATTTTAAATCTACACAGAATTTGTACCTGAACCCCCATGCATAGGAACTGGTTCACAAAATATAATTAAGTGGCCTAGCTTAGGGATTTTTAGATGCAGGAAAAAAGCTCAGCTAATCTGTTTGTTTTATAAGGTATCTCTCTCCATAGATTTCTTAAAGACTGTATCTCCCCAAATATGGATACAGGCCAGATTCAGATAGCCTTTGTAGGCACATTACTGGAGTTTTGGAAGCTTTGGATGCCAAAGTCACTTAGCATCCTAAAGAGTAATTCAAATTGGTCACCGTGACCCTAACCACCTACTGTGGGCCTAAATCCACCATGCACCTCTGATTTTGGAATTCAGCATCTCTACTCAGGTTCATCAGCACTTGCACACTCCACTGCTGACTAAGGTCCCTCATGATTGAAACTATTCACTAAAAACATATGAACTCCACCTATCATCCTGGAGTAGAGTCATTAGATAGGCAAAACCCAAGGCTAACCCAGATCGCTAGCACTGAATTCAGCTCAAAACCAGTGATGATGATGGTGCCTATGCTTTGCCGCCTATCACAGTGATCACAGCACTTACCCAAGACAATAGAGACCTGGGTTCTAGCTGCCTCCTCCCCCACTCCCCAAGTCTTCCAGATCATGGGCAAATGCTCTAGGACATTTATACACATACTTTTTTTCCAGAGATGCACCGGAGGTCTCCAGTTCACACACACATCAAAATTCCTCTAATGACTAAGGCTGTTTATAAATGTGCTCCAGGAGGCATTGGGGGGGGGGGGGTGCTTTAATTAGTGCAGCTCCAAGAGCTGTGATAATTAAAAGTACCTGGATCATCATGTGCATCAGCATCCCTGCACTGAAAAATGGCAGCAGGGTGCTTTGAACTAATGCTCGTCAACACTAGAGGCTGCTGGAGCGTGATAAATTTCCATGCTCCAGCAGACTCGGTTAATCGAGTCTGCTCCAACACACTGGAATTTTCAGTGCTTTGGAGCAGGTTCCCCGCACATGTATAGGAGCCCTAAGACACTGGGAAAAAGAAGAGCCATTTCTGCCATTGTTGTGAATCACCTATGTTTAGAAATTCAGTATAAATGTGCAACTGGGTGTTGTGAATCAAAAGTAAACAGAGGAGTATAATGGATATTTTGAGAAGCAGGAGTTCAGACAGAGGCTTATACTTCAGCATTACTCACTGGTTAGCCCCCAGTATCTCTAGACTTTCTGAATTGCCCTTTGCTGCATAGGTGTACACTGCATCCTATTCTCTTTTTAGAGTACCTACACAGAATAAGCAAGTGTCTCTGAATTTTCTCCATTGATTCTATGGATCATATTGAATGCCTCTTCTAGAGCAGTTTTCATCTAAGATTAGGTGCATTCTGAGATGCCCTTAATTTATCTGTAGTGCTAGCATGTACCCACTCCATTAAAAAAAACCTACGCAAGTAAAAGCAATATGAACCACTGAACATAGTCCTTATTCAGCTTCATATCTGACCTCTAGGATTCTTTTTCTGCACCCCATCTATACCTAATACAGGGAGGTTCAAATATTGCAATCTTTACTATGTTCTTATTTTTTTAGAAGTCATATAAAAGTCTGGCAGAAACTATGTGCTGATGAGTCAGCTTGTTCACTCCTTGTGGAGATGAAACACTCTTTATAGGGTCAGTGATGGTTTCTATTGCTTCTCTGTCTTGCTTTTCCCGCTCTCATTAAGTTCATCTCATTTTATGAGACGATTTCAAGAAAACAAATAAAAAAACCTTGAGAATTTAAATTTAAATTCATAAGACATAAAGAAAATTAACAAAGGTTCAAGCTAATGTTCCAACTAACTAAGGCTCCTGTCTCTGAAAATAGCCAAAATAATTTTAAACAAAAAAATGCCTATGAAAAGCAAGTGTGTAACATCCTTCCTAAACTCCATCAGTTAGATGTTACCTTACACCATAAGCAAAACAAATTATCTGTATTACTCATACTTATATCCTACCTAAATTCCAAGGGGCATGTAACCCTCTTTAAAAAAAATGTTTTCTTAAATGGCAACTTGAGACTACCTTAAATAATATATAGCCTGCTAACAGATGTGAGGGAAGAGAAAGGGTGGGGGCGGGGGGGGGTGTGGAAACACACCTTACCAGAAGCAGCAGCATGTTAGTTTGACTTGACTCCACAGTGTCTGTATAGATCACACGCTTCAGCAGGGCTTTTTGGTGTTTTCATCCAATAGCTGATTTAATCAGCTATTGGACAAAAATACCAAAAAAGCCCCACTGAAGTGCCCAATTTATACAGACATTGGGCAATCTGGATCAAACTAACACAATGCCTCTTCTGGGTATGTGCTAGCTCAGCACAGGAGCATGTGAAGTTTATAGTAAAGCACCAATTACTTTTGTTTTTTTATATGTCTGTAAGCAGCCTATGTTTCTAGTGGAATGATTTGACTTTGCTTATAATTGTGGTAAAAATGTCTCATGATTCCTTATTCTCACTATACAGGGCCTCACAGCTGAACTGTGAGCTGTTTCTTCTTTCCCCCTGCAGTAGATAAGCAGTGTCATAATAAGAAACAGTCCAGGCAACGCTCGCTTTGTGATAAGATTCAAGGCTTCTTGTTAGAACACATAGATTAATGCTTGCTTTGAACATAAATTTTGTAAACATCATACTCGCTCATTGCCCTAGAGTTACACCAAGACACGAGGTTAATAAGGGGGCCCACAGTTCAGAATTGTGCATGCGGCAGGCTTTTCCCGCAGTTCCATTTTAGGACTACGCATGTACTAAACTTTGCAGAAAAATGTAACCAATTACAAATTGCCACGCTGGAATCTATTGTCCAGGTTAGCTATAAAAATGGAACCTCGGGCACAGCTCGGGGTTGACTGCTTTGAGCACTGAGCTCCTTTGTTGAACTGTTTGCAAACAATAAACTCGAGTTGGACCCAGCCTGAGTGTGTGACTCTCTCCTCGAGGTAAATTGGACAAGCCTCCGGGGGCATGAAACCAGCAGTTTGTGCAACATAATGAAACAATACATTTGGCTTAAATAGAATAAAATTAAACTCCAACGGGGAAATTCATTTCATTTAGCCTGTTTCTAAAGAATTATTTTCAATTGTTTACCATTATCCTTGAGGTGCCACATATGCTATATACCTAATATAAGTTACCAAAGAAGTAAAGAACTGTTAGTTCTAATACCATTTTGAAGTAATACAACAAATAACTTCAGAACGGAGCAAAGAAAACAAGTAGTGTCTCATTTTAAATATATTTTTCTCCTGCCCCTAATAGGATGCTATTGTTGATAAGATGCAGTATGTCTGTGGGCTTCTCCAGAAACTCCAATTATAAGGAGAGATTTGGAGTGAACTCCAGTTCATTTCAAAGTGATAAGAGTAATTTGTGTACATTCAAATTAAAAATGAGAGAGAGCGAGAGAGAGAGAGAGAAAGAGAATGCATCCTAGGTACCATTGAATGAAAAAGACAGGGCAAATGTCAATTTGTAGAATATGGAATTTCTCAATGTAGGTACAACTGGAAAGAGAGAGGCCAATGTGATAACAGCAGAACTAAGTACTCTATAAACATGCAACTAATATAGGATATTCAGTAATATTATTTTCATAATAATACAAGATTAACTCTTTATAGCTTTCTAGCCTTGCAGACCAGTCACCAGATAAGATGATCTAACTGAAAATACAGAGAGAAATAATATCTAGAATGGAAAATTTAAGAATGACAATAATTGTAATGGTGCCATAATACAAGTTAGAGACATTCAATTAAAATGAAAGGCAATTTAAAACTCATTAAAAAGTATATTTGTTTGTACACAGCATGCAGCTAACCCATGGAACTAATTGCAGCTCAGTTTTATTGTGTCAAGCTCTTCATTACAATGTTGGCTAAAATTGTAAGCAATATCAGTCTCTTGCTTCACACATAAACCAACTGCCAATTGACTTAAATCAAAAGGAAACTTCCCTTATGGATAAATTAATAAGGACTATTAAGAACTACCTGTACCTTTTTGATCACGGTCAGACACCATATGATTTTATGTCATAAAGCAATTCCAATAACACTAGTATCTATTTTCTTTCAATGAAAAAGTATTTCCTGTAGCGGCACAAATCATCATAGCAGTGTTCAGGACTGAGACATAAGGTGATTGGTATAAAGACAAAGATCAGCATTTCAGAATGATTAGGTCATCGCTTGTTTTGGGGCAAAACATTTTTCTATTTTTTTATCATTAATATATTTAAAAAATATATAATTCATCTGAGAAATGTAACGAAAAAGTTTAGCAAAAAGTATCTTAACTACTCATCCAGAATAGTGGAGGTAATGGTTTGAAATTGCAGTTTATTGTAAGTATAGTGCAAAACTAAAAAGATGAAACATGATTTTTACAATTATGTTTTCCTGAATTGGTTTTATTACTCCCTGTTTTCATTCACTGCTGGTGTTCACAGATCCCATATTGGCATTTTGTCTCTCAAAAACAGGTTATTTTGAAGGTTTGCCTATCAAAGCATATTTTAAGATTAGTCCTAAGCAAACTGCATATTTTAATTCCCAGTTCTAGAGATTAGTGACTATCAACATTCTTGAAAATTCTGATTGTCCATGCTGTTGCTAATTACCAATCATTTTAGTAAGAATTTCGTGTGAAATCCTGGTTGTTGATGTCAACAACAAAATTCCCACTGGCTTCTGCAGAAAGTCATCCTAGGTATCAACATTCTGAAAATAGCATTGAATAGCCTGTCTGAAACGCATATGTTTTTAGCAAGTTTCTCTTACCTGTTTGTGGGCGTGGTCATATGAGTTAATGTGATTGTCAAACTCCTGGTGTTTATAATACTGTTTGTCACAGAGTTCACAGTAGAAGTTGGCCTTAAGATCTTCCAGGGCTTTTGCTATAGTGTTCTCTTTTTCAGCATAATCCTGGGAAGAAAAAAAACAAAAAAACCCAGAAGCATTAGCTGTCTCTCTGATGCTAGAAACAAGTTCTCTGCTCTGCTGTTTAATCTTATTTGTCAACATTTGCACTGCAATAACGAAAGACTGTGTATATTTACTGTGTCACTCTACACATATTTACTGTATTAGATAAGAGGCATCAAATTATGTGCATTCCAGTTTGCTGTACAATTGATGGCTACCCCACTGTCTCTGATAGATGCAAACTTAGAGAAGGTTTTTCAATCAAGTTCTGTCTAAAAATTACAAATATTTACTACGTCTAAGGCCATGGTAATGCTAATTTCTGTCAAACATAAATTCTCAAACGATTCAGTATTTAATGCATCTAAACAGAACAATCATGGAGATAAAAATCACACATTTTATCTAGTTTCAGGACATATGCAATGAATGATGCTGATAAGAAAAAACTAACTTTAGTCCACCTGTGTTTTTCAATCTGCCTTTGTTCCAGTGGTAAAATAAGGAAAAAATATGGAAAATCATTTTAGAATCAAGTTTCTTGATATTGATCATACTTCTGAAAAATAAAAACTTATCTATGTTTTCCTGTTTCCTATAGTTTCATAGTAGCTAGGGTCAGGAGGGACCTAAACAGATCATCTAGCCCGACCCCCTGCCACAGGCAGAAATGAATGCTGGGTTCACAAGACCCCAGACAGGCGACCTTCCAACCTCCTCTTGAATTTGCCCAAGGTAGAGGCAAGGACCACTTCCCTGGGAAGTTGGTTCCAGATTTTGGCCACCCTAACTGTAAAATATTGCCTTCTGATCTCTAACCTAAACCTATTCTCCATCAGCTTATTACCATTGTTCCTCATCACCCCAG